AATACTAATAATAACAACACTGTAATACTAATAATAACAACACTGTAATACTAATAATAACAACACTGTAATACTAATAATAACTACACTGTAATACTAATAATAACAACACTGTAATACTAATAATAACAATACTGTAATAATAATAATAATAATAACAACTTGGCTCTCCCCCACACAGACTGGCCAGCTGTTGAAGAGACTCCCAGTGGAAGCTACCAATAAGATGTTTATCTGCTCAGCATTGTATAAAGACAGAGTAAGTCCTGGTGTGTGGTACAGTGGTGGTACAGTGGTGGTACAGTGATGGTGTTGTGGTACAGTGGTGGTACAGTGATGGTGTTGTGGTACAGTGAGGGTGTTGTAGACCTTCGGCTAAGGTGCCTTGAGTTTCTGACATACTTACCAGGTTGTCTAGTGGTGATGGTGTGGTTGTAGGGGAGATGGTGTGGTTGTAGGGGAGATGGTGTGGTTGTAGGGGAGATGGTGTGGTTGAGGTGTGTTGGTGTGATGGTGTGTTGAGGTTAACTAAAGAATAAGAGTTCATATGGCAGCAGTGTCCATGTGATCAACTGGTGAATGTTGTCAGTAATTTTCTATAAGAGTTGGTTAGTGTAGAGTATCTTGGTGTTGTTCTCTATAGTAAAATGTCTTAAGGTATTTCATGCACACTTTCCCTTCCGTCTCAGTCTGTTGGACTTAGATTCTTGAACCTAAGTCTGACTTCGACTCAGCCTCCTGTCTCAGACTTACCAGGTAATTATCTCTGTAAATCGGGCTGCTCTCAGTGCCCTCCCCCCAGTTACTCTACGGTAATATCTCCGTTAGCAACAATCCCCCAAAGCCGGAACTCTCCGATAGCCGGAAATGAAATTTTCTCTGAAAATCGTTTAGAAACCCAGAATTTTCTGGAAAATTCCAGCTTTGGGAACGATTTTCCAAGGGGCACATTTTTTTAGAAAATTCCAAGAAATTTTTCCGAATATCCGGAAAATTCCGGGGATGGGGGATATTTTTCTGGCTCTGAGAGAGTCGTCTCGTTACCCGGAAATCTCTCACTCCCAGAAGTGCCGTGCACCAATTGTTGCGGCTAACGGGGATATCACTACAGTATTTGTTGTTGTGTTGGTATCAGTGTGGCCACCTGTGGTGTAGTGGTCAACGTGCTCGCTTCACGTATGAGTGGACTCGAGTTCTATCACCGGGCACAGATTTGCAGATTGTATTCAGGGGTAATGGTTAGCCACTGTAGTTAACACTGGGTCATACATCTCGTTAACTCAGGGTGTGGTTGTTGTGTTGGTGACAGCTTCTACACCTTAATCAAATTTATGCTCGGGTGACCCTCATGTTGATCAACGAGGGTCAATCATTACGTGTGTGTGTGAACAATATAGTTAATAATCACTAGGATAAAGACACATTTCTTAAGGTTAAATTGACATAAACTTTGACCCATGTTGTGTTGTGTTTCAGTTACTGGTGGGGACTAAGAAGGGTGAAGTGGTGAGTTGTCATCTACAACACCTCACCAGCAAACCCTCCCAGTAAGTCCTCCTAGATAAAGCTGTCTGGCATTCCTTAGTAGTGGAGGCCCAGCAAGTTGGAGAAGCAACAGCCAACTTGGAGGTGGGGCTTCCGCTCGGGTTGGAAACGGGACAAAATTATTATTTCTCCTACGAAGAATCGGTGCTCAGAAATTTATTTAGAATATTAGTTGAGATTATAAGTAGGATTATGAGAGTTTAGCCACTGTAGGACTATGCCTTCAGGGTTGATTGTCTGGCTCAATCTTGCTCACTATTTCCAGTTTTGTGTCCATCCAAATGTTGAATACTGTAATCTTTTGTATTCTTTTTCTTAGCTGTGGACTCATAATAATCATATCCCTTTGTGAAGAAGAGTGTAAGTTGAACTACAAACACCAGTCTTTCAACCAGATGAATCATTGTGTTTATTTAACCCCAACACATAAATAAAGGGGATATTTTTAACATGAGAACCAGCTTATACAGTATCAGCACCTGTGGTTGTTAGGTCTTGTGAACACTAAGTTCATGTCCTGAACTTCTTGTGAACACACAAGTTCATGTCCTGAACTTCTTGTGAACACACAAGTTCATGTCCTGAACTTCTTGTGAACACACAAGTTCATGTCCTGAACTTCTTGTGAACACACAAGTTCATGTCCTGAACTTTTTGTGAACACTCACCTTCATGTCCTGAATTTCTTGTGAACACTCACCTTCATGTCCTGAATTTCTTGTGAACACACAACTTCATGTCCTGAACTTTTTGTGAACACACAAGTTCATGTCCTGAACTTCTTGTGAACACACAAGTTCATGTCCTGAACTTCTTGTGAACACACAAGTTCATGTCCTGAACTTTTTGTGAACACACAAGTTCATGTCCTGAACTTCTTGTGAACACACAAGTTCATGTCCTGAACTTTTTGTGAACACTCACCTTCATGTCCTGAATTTCTTGTGAACACTCACCTTCATGTCCTGAATTTCTTGTGAACACACAAGTTCATGTCCTGAACTTCTTGTGAACACACAAGTTCATGTCCTGAACTTTTTGTGAACACTCACCTTCATGTCCTGAATTTCTTGTGAACACACAAGTTCATGTCCTGAACTTCTTGTGAACACTCAACTTCATGTCCTGAACTTCTTGTGAACACACAAGTTCATGTCCTGAATTTCTTGTGAACACACAAGTTCATGTCCTGAACTTCTTGTGAACACACAAGTTCATGTCCTGAGTTCAAGTTCATGTCCTGAACTTCTTGTGAACACTCAACTTCATGTCCTGAACTTTTTGTGAACACTCAAGTTCATGTCCTGAACTTTTGTGAACACTAAGTTCATGTCCTGAACTTCTTGTGAACACTCAAGTTCATGTCCTGAACTTCTTGTGAACACTAAGTTCATGTCCTGAACTTCTTGTGAACACACAAGTTCATGTCCTGAACTTCTTGTGAACACACAAGTTCAGTATTTTCATCAAAATGATTAATACTTCTCAAACCTTGTCCTATGATGTCTTTCATAAGTGAATTTGTAGACCTCTCTGTTTTATACTGTTCATCTTTGGTGGTTTAATGTAAGAACATATTTCTTTTTTCTTAACTTAGTAATTTGTAATTGTTATTTGTTATTGTTTATACAGGTCTATTTATGTCCTGGTTTATTGCACTCAAGCACAAACCTTTTATGTGATACTTGGGCTGTATTCGGAAACACTGCGACCGGCTGATGGGGTGACCGCACGGCCAGTGGTCGAGGCTTGGCTATATACAGTACGCTAACTACACAATCACTCATTTATAGTACCTGAACTAACAACTGATACTTGTTAACTACTAATATAATTAGAAACAAATATCATTTGTTGACATAAAATTGTAAAATTAAATTAATAAATAAAGTCCAGTGACGTTATTAACTTAGAAGAGTAACTTTAGGTAAGAATGTTGTTAAGAGTGGCTGTGGTCGTCCCCCCGCCCGCCAGTCTTGTGTTACATTTATGACGCGTTGATATTGTCAAACTTTCATGGACGGTATTGAGAGACATGAAGCAAGTTGATCCATCAGTGTACAGTTGTGGTAGAGTGTGTACTGTACAGTGGTGGTAGAGTGTGTACAGTACAGTGGTGGTAGAGTGTGTACAGTACAGTGGTGGTAGAGTGTGTACAGTACAGTGGTGGTAGAGTGTGTACAGTACAGTGGTGGTAGAGTGTGTACAGTACAGTGGTGGTAGAGTGTGTACAGTACAGTGGTGGTAGAGTGTGTACAGTACAGTGGTGGTAGAGTATGTACTGTACAGTGGTGGTAGAGTGTGTACAGTACAGTGGTGGTAGAGTGTGTACAGTACAGTGGTGGTAGAGTGTGGGCACAGTGGTGGTAGAGTGTGCAGTACAGTGGTAGAGTGTGTACAGTACAGTGGTGGTAGCGTGTACAGTACAGGGGTAGAGTGTGTACAGTACAGTGGTGGTAGAGTGTGTACAGGCACAGTGGTAGAGTGTGTACAGCAGTGGTGGTAGAGGTGTACAGTACAGTGGTGGTAGAGTGTGTACAGTACAGTGGTGGTAGAGTGTGTACAGTACAGTGGTGGTAGAGTGTGTACAGTACAGTGGTGGTAGAGTGTGTGTGTTGTACAGTGGCAGAGTGGCACAGTACAGTGGTGGTGGGCGTGTGTACAGCATAGTGGTAGAGTGTAAGCAGTACAGTGGTGGTAGAGTGTGTTGGTAGAGTGTGTACAGTACAGTGGTGGTAGAGTGTGTACAGTACAGTGGTGGTAGAGTGTGTACAGTACAGTGGTGGTAGAGTGTGTACAGTACAGTGGTGGTAGAGTGGTACAGTCTGTTGCTCACATCCTCACTATACAAATTGATCAGTATTTTGAGAGGTGTGATCAGATTCATCCTTGATCAGATGGGGTAGTACGACTTGTTTTATGCTCTGTGTTCTTGTTTAACTGTCAGGTCTTCACTTATGCCGTCATGAATGTAAACACAAGTTGCGTAGGTCACGATTGCGTCAGTTGTCGGCACAGGTGGCCGGTCTACAGCGGCCCTCGGACTAGCTAGTCAGGCTCATCTAAAAATGGCCAAGTTCTATTTTCTCCCTTTAATTTTTTTCTGGAAATATTACTGTAAATTTATTATTTTTTCAAGATTCTATGAATATTAGTGTTTTGCTCATACAGATCTCAAACATAACATTTGTTGTCAGATTTTAATGTTTATCACAATACTTGCTGTTTATACAAATAAAAAAATGTGAACCAAGTACAGTAATGTTGTTTACCCTTATGTTATAGACAATGTTGTATACTGTACCACGACTTAAGAGAACCAAGTACTGTACAGTAATGTTGTTTACCCTTAGATTATAGACAATGTTGTATACTGTACCACGACTTAAGAGAACCAAGTACAGTAATGTTGTTTACCCTTATGTTATAGACAATGTTGTATACTGTACCACGACTTAAGAGAACCAAGTACTGTACAGTAATGTTGTTTACCCTTAGATTATAGACAATGTTGTATACTGTACCACGACTTAAGAGAACCAAGTACAGTAATGTTGTTTACCCTTATGTTATAGACAATGTTGTATACTGTACCACGACTTAAGAGAACCATTTTATGACAGCTTCATCGATGGTTGACCAAGAACGATATGAGACGGTACAGTATAGTTGATGAGTTAGGTGTTGTATAAATATTGTGGATGTAAGAATTTGTTGTCCTAAAATAAATATATTGAGTATAACATTATGTTGTGCATATAGGGAGGCATTAGTCTTCAGACACGTTGTGGTGGTGGCGGTTGTCTGGTGCGACGGACGGAACAAGAAATTTTAATATTCTGTACAAGTAAGTTAGTTTGGGCTATTTGGTAAATATTAATTAATATTTGGATATTCTTTATAAGCAAGAGTTATCATAATTATATAAGGCAAATTTGTAGGATTAAAATATTTTCAGTATATGTGGACGGCTTGAAATTTGTTCCTTGTGGTTGCTGGCAGGACGGACTGAAGAACTTTATTCGGTTCGTGTTGATTTGGAGGTTTATAATGTGAGTTTGAGTTAACATTATTTTTATTGGACCATTACTCATTGACAGCATAGATTACATTAAAAATTATTAGGTTCTTATTAAATATTTCTGGATCCAATGTATATTTCATATGTGTGTTGATTATACATAGTTTCCCAGGTTAAACATACTTCATATAAACTGGTGTTCCTGCTGCCCGGGCATTATAGTGACACGACCCGAGAATGATGACGACCGTGATCACTCGACGGGTAATACAGTGAGTCCTAATTAACGTTGCCCACTACAACATTGTTTTGTTACAACGTCGCTACTTTTTATATACCAGTGATTCCGGCAACGTCCCGACCTATTCATTATAACGTCATCATGGGCTACTGTGTACGGTGCATCACCTCTCTCAACGTCCCGACCCATTCATTATAACGTCATCATGGGCTACTGTGTACGGTGCATCACCTCTCTCAACGTCCCGACCTATACATTATAACGTCATCATGGACTACTGTGTACGGTGCATCACCTCTCTCAACGTCCCGACCTATACATTATAACGTCATCATGGGCTACTGTGTACGGTGCATCACCTCTCTCAACGTCCCGACCCATTCATTATAACGTCATCATGGGCTACTGTGTACGGTGCATCACCTCTCAACATCCCGACCTATACATTATATCGTCATCATGGACTACTGTGTACGGTGCATCAGCCTCTCTCAACGTCCCGACCCATTCATTATAACGTCATCATGGACTACTGTGTACGGTGCATCACCTCTCTCAACTCGGCGTGCTACACTCCCTCGTAGTGTCACAGCGTCCCCAGTCTTTTTTAGTCTTCCACGGCATATGTTCGTGTTTAAGCGTTTTTGCTATAAATACTTTACTGTAACCATTCAAAATGTCTTCCAAGCACCCATCAAGAGCTACTGATGCTAGTGTTGTGAAGAAGCAACATAAAACGAAAATGTTACGAGAATGGTGGTTTTATACCCAGCACACACTCGCTCCACCTCTGCCCACCAGTGAGTACAAGACAAAATTATTTACTTTATTTATCTTTGTGGGTGTATAATATATATTTTCTATAAAAATTCCATTGAATTTATGTATATGTAATGTATTTTATGGGACAAACTGAGGCTGGGGATATGTAACTAGTGTATGTTATCTATTTCTTATGAGGAAAATTGATTCAGTTAACATTGTGTTTTACAAGAACATGACCAAGACATTAAGCTAAGACTTACTGTAGTAATGTTTAGCTTGGACCAGACATTTACCTCACTCTCAGATTGACTCAACTTTCATTTACTGTACAAATCTGATATACTCTGACCTAACACTGAAACAGGCTCCTCACCTAACACTGAAACATGCTCCTCACCTAACACTGAAACATGCTCCTGACTTAACACTGAAACATGCTCCTCACCTAACACTGAAACATGCTCCTCACCTAACACTGAAACATGCTCCTCACCTAACACTGAAACATGCTCCTCACCTAACACTGAAACATGCTCCTCACCTAACACCTGATATGCTCCTCACCCCTGCCTGACCAGGCTCCTCACCTAACGCACAAACATGCTCCTCACCTAACACTGAAACAGGCTCCTCACCCCACAACACTGACAGGCTCCTCACCTAACACTGACAGGGCTCCTCACTGCTTACTGACAAACCACTCCACCTAACACTGAAACAGGCTCTGACCTAACACTGAAACAGGCTCCTCACCTAACACTGGAAACATGCTCCTCACCTAACACTGACAGGCTCCTCACTGCTGCACAAACAGGCTCCTCACCTAACACTGAAACGTAAGCCTGACCTAACACTGGAAACATGCTCCTCACCTAACACTGAAACAGGCTCCTCACCCCTAACACTGAAACAGGCTCCTGACCTAACTTACTGAGGTATGCTCCTCACCTAACACTGACAGGCTCCTCACCTAACACTGACAGGCTCCTCACCTAACAATGAAACATGCTCCTCACCTAACACTGAAACATGCTCCTCACCTAACACTGAAACATGCTCCTCACCTAACATTGAAACATGCTCCTCACCTAACACTGACAGGCTCCTCACCTAACGCTGACAGGCTCCTCAAGATAACTCCACCACAGCTTATATAATAATAATAATAATAATAATAATAATAAACGGTTTATTAA